TCTTCTCACCCATACAACCTGGCTGTGCCAAAGCTCAGATTCAGTCTGTCATCTTGGGACAGCACAAGAGCCACAACCATGGCCGGATGCTGCATATAAAAAGCTCTTCCCAGCTCTCTAGTGAAATAACCCTTACATGCTTCCTGCCTTACCAGAGCTATCCTGCATTGTATAGAGCTCTCAAATAACCAAGCAATTATAGCGAGACATTAGCCATGGCATTAGTGCAGCTGACGCACTGGATTTTATGCTACAGAAAAGATCTAGGATTTCTGGCTTCTGCGTCAGTGCTCTTTGCGAGCTTTGCTCCCCTCACTAAGGCAGGGTAACAGCTCTGTATTGCCTAAGGACAGGTCTCTAACCGGCTCTCAAGCATTGCACAAACATAACAGAAATGAGGTCCTTGAAGGATTCCACACCTCTGTCATACCGCTGCAGCGGCATTTCTTCTAAATGCACTGCACGAAATCAAACTCCCTGGCAAACAGTACGAGGCATTTACACAGCCAGTTAAATCCCTGCTGCTTTTCAGGCATCACCTCGTGAACCCCGCACAAACCCCCAGCCAAGGAAGCATTTTAGCCTCATTTTAAAGAGTAAAGAGTCGCAGAGAGGAGCGACTGGGACAAGTCGGAGTCAGCAACTGAACAGGGCCAAAAGGTTTCCATTTTCATTCCTGGCTCTGAGCACAGGTCTTTGCTCTCTCCCAAAGCCAGAAATGGTACCCAGGGTTCCTGACTCCCAGTCCTGTCCAAAGCGCAACATTGTGCTAGGTCACACACTATAGCTCACAGTCTGAGAGGAGGGATAGGATCTGAGCCACCGATGCCCCATGCACAGCTCACCCTCCAGAAGCAGCAGCGTGGAGGCAAGTCCTCCCGAGGTTGTCAGGTGTGTTGATATCGAAGCCTGCGGACAGCACGTGCTCATTGCTCAGCGAGGAGACGATACTGTACAACTGACCTGCACGGCAGGAGGGGCAGGGAGTCAGGGGAGAAGCCTCAAGGGCTCGCCCTCGCGCCCTCGCCACAGGAGCAGGGGCTGAGTCGCTCACCTGAGGAAAGTAGCTTACGACAACAGTCTGAAAATCCAAAGAGAACAGCTAAGTGCAGAGGGAACATGTCGTGGATCCCACGCCTGCCAGGAGATGAGAAGGGAGTCAGGAGAGGAGGTGACCGTGCAGCCTGTCCTCAGAAAATGTTGGCATCTGCCATCCCACCACCACCATCCCTCAGAGGGACAGGGTGGATCGTTGGGGTGACAGTTCCTGCATCTTCCAGCCCAGGACAGGATGGGGAGAGGGAGGAAGCCTTTCCTTACCTTGCAGTGTCAGCACCATTCGTCATTAAAGTACTAATTAGCAGCTCGTGGCCATATCTAGCAGCAACGTGGAGGGGGGTATTGCCGTATTTGTCAGCACAGTCAATCTCACTGCCTGGAAAGGAAAAACCAAGTGCTTTTTTGGGGCATCTCCGAGTTCTAGTCCCAAGCAATGATCCTGGTCTAAAAGGGGCTCAGACTGCAGCAGGGAGGGTCTAACAAGCAGCCCAGGATGTTCCCATTGCCACGTCCCCGTCTCAGCACGGGCAGCTCAGCGGACACTGCCGAGAACTCGACTCCATTCAGCATTGTGGAGAAGAACTGCTCTCTGAGCTGAGAGCCCAGCTGTGTCTTCAAGCACTGGGCATTAGATCTCTCCCCCTTCCCAGAGGAGCTGATGTGCTCAGCCCTGGAGGTCTCCAGCTGAACCCCTGGGGTGTCTGCCAAGTCTGCAGCCCTCTCATAGGAATATTGTCTTTCAGGGACATGGCAGTGGAAATGTCTTTTGGCCATAGCAGTTCTGACCTGGATGGAATTTCAGTTCCCCAGTCTGCACTTTACTGGCCTTGAGAGCTAGACCCAGACAACACGCGTGCCCTCCATCGCCCCCCAACCAGCGCAGGGCCACTGGCCAAGGTCCCAAGGGCAAAACACAGAGCATAGAAGCAAAGTTGAGTGATAATTGTGCAGGGAGATCCTGGAGGTAGGTGCTGAGGAACACAAGAAGAGGATGGCGTAAACGCAAGGTGAGAGGAAGCAGCCACATACCGTTCTGAATGAGGATCTGCGAACGTGTGAACCGTCCGTGAATGGCAGCCATGTGCAAAGGGCTCTTCCCTTCCTTACTCTGTAGGGAGCAGAAGTGGACGTTGCATCGGGCTTCCAGCCACCACCCTGACCTCACCCACAGGCAGCATGTCCCTGCTCCCCCCACCGTGAAGCTCGATCCCTCAGTGCCCGACCTGAAAGTTGACATCAGCTCCGTTGTTCACAAGAAGCTCTAGGCACAGGGCCCCATTGGTGGAGACGGCAGCAAAGTGCAGAGGCGTGAAGCCCTTCTCGTTAGGCTGATTGACGTTGGCGCCGTAATTGACCAGCTCGTTGGCCACGGCATCTTGGCCCATGTAACAGGCAATGTGAAGTGCAGTGTTACCAAAGGAATTTGGTTCATCGATCTGCGGGAGCAACGAACCCCAGAGGATTTGTGGATTCAGGGAGAAGAGAGGCAGCCGAGAAACAGCCAGCGCTCCTGACACCACCCAGCAGCCGCTCCTACAGGCATCTCTAGACCAGCTTCTAGCTGAGCTCTCCCTCCTCCAGCCCGGGGCCACCCAGGCCACGGGGCCTTACCTCGACTCCCAGCCTCAGCAGATGTCGCACAACTTCAATCTGGCCGCTGGCTGCCGCAGTGTGGAGCAGGGTGTAGCCCTTCTTGTCCTTACACATCACATCAGCACCTCGGGCCACCAGCAGCTTCAAAACTTCCAAATGCCCTGCCCGAGACACAGAGTTAAGAGCCAGGGGACTCTGAGAGAGTCCTGGGCACAGCAGCTTTTGGGAAGCAGCTGCCCAGCCTCAAAAGTGAATCTACAGGCAGCAAGCAATGTGGGAGAAGGAACCAGAACGATGCTTGCAGGAAAAACCTACCTAGGAAAGCTGCCCAGTGGATGGGCTGGCGATCCTTCTTGTCACAAGTGCTCAGGCTGGCCCCTTTGTTTAACAGCAGATTCACCATCTAGATGAGGAAAAACAGTGAGAGAGGCAGGGCTACCATTTCCTTCCACTTGTGCAGGCAGAGGTGCCTTCTTCCAGCAGGCCTCCCGCCTGGACTGCAAAACCCAGGCAGAGGAAGGAGGACACAGGCGCCCAAGCCTGCCTCACCTACCTCGAGGTGGCCACTGTGCACGGCATGGTGCAGTGCCGTGCGGCCCGTGCGGTCCGCGACATTTACGGTGCTCAGCAGGGGGATGATGGCCTCCACACACTTGGTGGCCCGGTTGGCAGCAGCGACGTGCAGAGGCGTTTGCCAGTACTTGTCACGGGCATTGACATCTGCCGAGTGCTTCAGGAGGAGGTGAAGTGCCTTCTGGCAGGAGCAGAGGAAACAAAAGCTCTAATCCAACCTGGTGGAGCCCAGAGAAGCCCTCTAGCAAGGTGAGGGAAAAAGCTGCAGCTGGGTCCATCTCATGCTTTCAGTGCACACAGGGCTGCCCAGGCTGAGCTGAAACTACTCTGCACAATCATGGGTACAGCTTCTCCTTGCTCTGCTAAGGGAAGAATCTGTTTGCCCTTGCAGCCCCAGGCTGCTCCAACTCCTTCATGCTGCATCAGTTGTTCCCTTCCAAGCTGGAGTTCGGTGCGGAGAACCTGACTGAACAGGGCTCAATCCTGTTGGGTGAAGATGTGAAATATGGCTGCACAGGGGGTACTGGGATGAGAGAAATATCACTAAGCCACGTGACCTAACAATAAATGAGTGTTTGCCCATGACTCACGAGGTGTAAAGTGCCCGGGGGATGACAAGTGTGACACACTGACCTACATTTTATAATTATTTCCCCTTTTTGCTGGTAAAGGCAGTTTGCCGCATTACCCCCTCTCACTTTCTTTGCTATGGCTTACAGGTTATCCGCTTCCAAGTGGCATAAGGGCAGTGTTTCTCACTATCCCAGATCCCAGCTGGCTGCCGCTGCTCTCTTCTCCCAGGGTTATCCGTTGCCACTGCCTCCTCTCCCCAGCTTCTCCCTCTCCATGCAATGCTTTATAACCCTGATGAGACACCGGTCAGACAGCATCCCCAGGAAGCATTCTTGGCTGGGAGAAGCACACTGAAACTGCATGGCAGTACAGAAAAACAGCAACCCTAGAGAGCAAGCACTAGGGAGGAGAGATGGGAAGCACTCAGGCACGTCCGGGAAGGCTCCTTTCGGTGACTTGGCATGCAGGGCCCTGGAGGGCCTTGTGCCAAGCACCCTGGTGAAGAACAGAACAAGAGATGCTGCTCTCCAACACATCTGAGCTGAGGCACAGAAGCAAACAAGCGTGCTCAGATTCACAGACAAGCAGCACTTCAGACCTGACAGCAAACAGTCCCAGCTTGCTGAGCTCCTGTATTTTAGCAATCCACAGTAACTGTCCGCACATGTTCACAGCCCACAGCAAACGCCCTCAGAGGTTTAAGCTAATGTGTTTCGCCTCATGTCCGCTGCCGATTAAAAGAATTCATGCAACCAGTCGATGTGTGGTAACTTGCCCTGCATGTCAGACTTAGGGCTTCTGATCCCCCGGCTCCAACCAAGATGACCACAGAGTTTCTTGCTCTCAAGTAACTCGAAACAGGACAAAATTAAGTGGGATAAAGTTAAGCCCACAAAAAGCTGAATGTCAGGAAATCTTTCTAACAAGATCCATTGGAATCATCTCCCAAGAGAAAGTGTGAGAGCCCCATTATCCCTCAATGAAATGTAAAGCTGGATTAGACAAATCCCTTGGGAAGACGGGAAAGGAAGGGAGGAGGATGTTGTGGGGAAAACCCACATGCTAGTTCCTGGCTGATGGAGGGGAACCAAGGGGACCTTTCCCAGCTCTCATTTTCAGCCTCTGAATCACAAGTTCTTCCCCTCTCAATTGTGTAATGAGAACACCCATCTCAGCCCAAACCAGGCAAGGTAGAAAACAGAGAGAAGCACAGTCCCCTCCTGCTGTCAGCCATGCTACCCCCAATCGAGAGCGCCTACCACCTCTGTGCAAGGAGTAGATGAAAACAGAGGTTGTGTCAGAAGGAAACCTACCTCGTTACGAGAAGCTGCAGCGCGGTGTAATGGGGTCAGCCAAACAGTGTCCTTTGCGTTAACGTTAGCACCTGAGGAAGAACAAAGTGAGGGATCAGGGAACAGAGGGGTGACCGTTTGCCTACCGCTCCAGAGTCCCACGGCAGGTTCGCAGTCATCTCTGAGGCACCCACCGGGCAAGGGTGCATCCCGGTTCTTCTGCAAAAGGGGGCCTGCACTGAGCCTTAGGTGAGGACAGATCTTGTGAACTGCACGAGGAACAAACTATGTCCCTTGCAGAGCTGTGCCAGTGCACTGCTAAGGATGCTGCAAAGCAGAGACCGGAGAGACTACATCTCCCAGAGTGCCATGTTCCACACTGAGCCAAATGGCCGCAACAGAAGCCAGCCTGCAGTTCTGATCCTTGCTTTAAAAAGGAGGCCACTTGAGACAAAAAAACAGAGCATTTCATGTTGAGAGCTTTGGTCTCCGCATTAGGAAGGAAAGATGACAGACTACTGTCATCCCCACTCCATATTTGTGCTAGACACTTGTCTAACGACCCCCAAAACCCCCTGCCTTTCCTTGCTGCTAACTCACCACACACACGTGAAAACCAACACAGAGCACATAAGAGCATCTTACGCTCTGCAGATGGAGCTGAACATCCCCAGTCCCGTTTAGAGGCCCTCAGCAAGGGATTTTCCCAAGCTTCTCCTTGTCAGGTTAATGTAGGACCGTGCCAGCCTCAGGGTTCCCCCACACCACCAGCAAGCGCCCGAGAAGCCCAAGGCGCCCAGAGGCACTGCCATGCTGAATGGCAGATTAGGAGACTCCACTCTGCACTGCAGAGGCACAGGCCCCGAGCACAGGGTTGAGTTTCTTTGGAGGGGAATGAAGGGCAGTTTTAAGTCAAGTAACACAAGCCAAAACAGAGCAAAATCCTCTATTTCTTAACTGCCCCCTTTCCAATAAGCCATTGAAACTGGCCTCCTCTGAGCATCCTGCTGTTCCAGGCGTGTCAGGGGCATGCATCCTCCCTGCACCCTCCTCCAGCACCTTCTTCCAATGCTGGACACCCCACACACATCCTTCTCCTGGCCCGGTTTCCATGTCTGTTATTTCAGTTCCAAGAGGCTTCGCTGTTTGAACAAATCTCTCAGAATTATGGCAACGTTTCCTCATCTTTCACTGGCTGTAACCCCACTGGCATAAGTATGAGTACAACAGTTGTTTGGAGGGTGACCAAAAACTATTGCTCTGCACCCCCAAGACCAGAGGAGATCACAAAGATGCCTTAAAGGCAGCTCCAGCACTTGGGCCAAGTGCCTCGAGCCTTGGCCCTTACCTGACAGTATTAGGAGCTCGAGGATTGCAACATCTCCTATGTAGGCAGCAGCATGCAGCGGTGTTCGTCTTTCTTGGTCCTGAGCAGGGACGTAGGAAACAAAAACCATCTATTAACTTTGCGGAGGACAGGGGGATCCTTTGCAACAAAATCCCTCCTCCACTCCAGTCTGCCCCAATGCACCCCTGTAAGTGTGTGCAGACATCTCAGGGCACGGGACAGGGAGAAAATTACTTAGATCTAGCAACCTTCTCCAGTGAACGGGGGAAAAGCAGCTCTGTGCCACCCTACAGCCACTTCAGAGCTCCGTGGGGGCTGACCCCATACCTAGCAGCGGGGCAGAGGACACCCGGGTCCTATTCTCAGCACAAGATGGGGAGGCTGCACCTTTGCCCGGCTGTGTGAACTCAGACGTTTCATCTCTTTCTCTGATTCCTCTCAGAGACCAACCCAGCTTCGCTTTGGTGTTACTAGACTTAATAAATATCTGCAAAGCACTCTGACATCCTGAGATGAAAGCCTGGCAGCGCTCTGACAGTGTACAGACCGTCCCATTCTGTACACTTTTATGCTCTTGGCCAACAATAAAAAACACTTAGAATTACAGGCAGCTCAGATCAGCTTGCTGCTGGAGGACAGAAAGGTGCAAAAGCCCCTCTCAGATTGTAGATTGGATTAGCCAGAGAAAAAATATCTTTCACTTCTGTTTACTCAGGGCTGGGCCCTGGGTAACCTCTAACTTGAAGCATTTGGTTCAGGCTTTCCTCAGGGAACATGCCACGTACTAACGCCAGGAAGCAAACAAATAGAAAGCTAGAAGCACACAACTCATTTCAGGCCCCAAATTTTGTGTCTGGGGAAAAATAAAATAATAGTTTTTCATTAGGCTAAAAACAGTTTGGAAAACAGTGGTAGCTCAATTTTTTGTAATAACTTGTGCTGGCACAGCCAGGCAGGAGGATGTGAAAGTGAAACCCAGCTTGCAGGTCACTGAACAAGCAAGAACATTTCTAAACCTGCACATAGAAAAGGAAATTAAGTATTAACAATTGTGGTTTTATTCCTTCAGTAGCTGAGCAAGAGCTCAACAAACCGATCCCAATACTCTCTCCTCGCAAGAGAGGACGAAGCGTTACCAGGTCCCTAACCAAAGCAGTCACGGAAAAAAATCCTCACACTATCTTTGCGGAATAAGCTAAGATACGATCTAATCATTAGTCTCGCTGGCTGGCACGCAAGCACCAGCGCAGGGCTGCCCTTACCTTCCCGGGACACTGGCCAGCACAAGCGTCTGCAGCGCCTGCCCTTGACCTCCGGGTTTGAATGCAGCGCGGATCCGGGGTAGGCACCAGCTCTGACCCCACAGGCCAGGCTGGGAGGACACCACACCAAAGCGCTCAGCACACAGCAAAACGCACACGAGTACGCCAAAAAGCCAGTGTCAGCCAGCAGCACAGCTGGGAACAGCATGGATCGGAGACCCAGTTAATGCTACAGCTTAGATGAGAAGACGGCGAACCAGAACAGACTGCTCTTGCCGAGAGCTCACAACTTAGCCTGGCTCTTGGGCTGAGAGTGCAGTAACTGCTGACCCGGCACCAGTCCAACTGTGCCACCATGTCACGGAGACCCGGGCCGATGCAGTCAGGGCTGGCGAATCCGCCAGCCGGCATCACAGCAGGCAGCGTTTCTTATCTGCACATCTGCCACTGGTTTGTTAGCGGGAAGCTCGTTAGCATACGCTCCCTTGATCGGGTTTACAAGTCGGACTGAAACGTTCACACACAGGTTTTACCCCTTTCTTCACTGGAGCCTGGTTTTCACGTTCATGGTAAATCACACTCATCACCACCAAACTGGGGCTACCAAGGGTTGCTCCGCCAAGCGCCAGCCTGGCCATCTGCCAGGATCTGGAGGGATGCACCAGCACGGCACTGGAGAAGGCGAACTGCAGCCACCGCGCTCCCGGGATGAGGGAAACGGCGGGGCACAGCGCTCGCAGGGCCAAGGCAGCGCCCGGCCCGTAAGACCCTGTTGCACGGCTGCTCTTCCGGGCCCCGATGGGAAGAGCTGTGCCAGCATGCTCTGCTGTCCCACCCCACTCTGGAATGAGTGTAAAAACCACCCTCTGCCACAAAGCTTAAAACAAGAGCAGTGGAAACACCTTCCTAATACTTGCAACGTTAATTCTGCTCTGCTGAGCGGCTCCAACCCTCCTTCCCGCTCTGGGGAACAACCGTATCAGAAGACAGACCTGCTGTGTTCACACCAAACTATTTTGGGTCACCGTCCCAAAGGAGAAAAAGGTAAACTGGCAATGCAGCAAAGCTGAGTCTCCATGGAAAGTCCTCCCACACACCCCACAGCTTCTCAGCTCTGTTCTGCATTGCCCAAAAGCTTTAGGAAGTTCTCACCACCTCCCGGGGAGGTATGGAAATGCTGTTGTTCCACGCATCCCATTTTACAGATGGCAAGACTGAGGCAACAGGACAAAGCTGCACAGCTAATGGCAGCCAAGCCAGGAAGACACTCCAGAAATCTCTGTTTCAAAACCCCAGCTCTAACCTTCCTTGCAAAAGGAACCCGCTCTGGTTGGCATACAAATCTCAGTGGCTAAACCTGTGCCCCCCCCTTCAGCTAAAGAACCTTCTTGCTGGGGTAAGGAAACAGAGACAGTTGAATTAAGGAGGGCTACACCAGAAAAGAAAGCCAAGCCAGGCAGCACTCACCAATACATTGATATTCTCCTTCTGATTCAGCAAGGACCGCACCTCCTCTATATCACGGTTGAAGATGGCTTGGACCAGAGGAGGCTACAAAGAAAAAGACAAGTGAGCTGTGAAGGTGGTCCCAGGACACAGCCAGGAGGAGACCTGGCACCATTACTGCACACGTCCGAGACTGACACCAGCCTGGTTTAGCCAGGATCTCACTACGCAAACGAACGCCCTCCGTCTACTGTCTGCCAAAGACAGGCCCGCTGGCAGCATCTGACAGTGTTCTTGCAATTGCAGCAGTTTAAAGTTTTAAGTGCTCGTGCTGTTTGATTCCTGGGTTTCGTTTTAAGCAAATGAGAAGTCACTTCTAAAATAACTTGGACAAACTGAAGTGGATTTTACATTGATAGGAAATTCAGAGGGAAAAAATACTGCAGCCACAGAAGAGCATTACAGACTGCACCAACACTGTCCCTCAACAGCTCTCAGGGCTGCATCTGGAAAGCCTACGTACGGCTGGTCCCACAGACCCCTCGGCTTGCTCCTGCGCTACCAAGGTCGCTCGAAACATAACACGGTCTACGTTAGGAGCAGGATTAAGTTCTTAGTAGTGCAGCCAGCACCAGGGATCAACCTTCAAGCCAGCAAAGGTAGTTGTCATGATGTGGATGGCTGTACACTGGGGAACAGATCAAGGAGTCATTAGAAAAGCCTCCCCGTTTCCAAGGTCCAAGGAGCAGCGCTGATCATAGACATATTAGCTCGGTCTCCAACAGGGCGCGCGGGAACTCAGCGTAGCTCTCCACGCTCAGGCCCCTTGCCACGCAGCAGCACCCAAGCGCGGCAATCCAGGTCCACTCATGTTATCAAGAGCTTTAGCCACAGTCAGCAAATCCCACCACCCAGTAGTGGTGTAAGACAGGGCTGCACAGACTATGAAATCAATTTTGCCAAGACACAAATACGTGATGCCTCGTGCTATCCCGCAGGTAAGACTCTGTATTCCTTACTGCTCCCCTACGTTTTGAGAAACAGCTATGATGCTACACCAGCTACGATGGCACGAAAGGCCTGGCAAAGCCAAGCCTGGAGCGCCTTCTGCTTCCTGCTGTTCACACCTCAACAGTTACCCAGCAGACTTTGGTGAAAAAAACATTAGCAAAGCTCTAGCCAAAGTCATAAAGTTAACCACTGCTGTGGCCTGCAGAACTGATGTCCTGAACAGACAGAGCCTCTCTGCTGTCTTTGCACCGGGGTAACATACCTTGTCCCAGAGCACGATGTGTGTGCTAGGCCAGGTAAGCATCGCTCGCAGCAGCATTAAGTTCAGGTGCCGCCCAACCTCTGAGCATCGCCTGAGCACCCAGTAGCCTGTTTCTTGTTTCACAGGCCTAGAAATTACATTTTAATGTTGCAAGATCTTCGGGGCAGAGACTGCGGCTGCTCTAAATCCCTTCAGTGCTCTGCACCCCACGATCACGGCCAAAACCCACGCCTCCTTGCCCAGGGCAAAGCAGCAGGCCAGCCTCCGCTCCTTGCACAGATCTGAACAGCGCGTTCGGGGGTGCTGCAAGCAAGACAGAGCTGCAACAGCCTCCAGCACCCGCTTCTCCAGCTCTGTTCGCGTAGCCAGTGCTGGATCTAATGGTCAAAACCAGCCAAAGCTTCTCATCTTGGCTTCTCAAAGGAACCACAGACCTTCATTTTCGAGGAAATCCCTTCCTGTCCCTGCTACCCAGCAATCCTCACACGCATCTTTCTCACCCCACCATCAAAGTAAAAGCAGTTAAATATGGGGAACACATCCCAGGTCAGAGGGAACGCGTGAGTCATTCCCATGGAATGCAGCAGACTCAGCATCACTCGTTAGACATTTAAAAAAAGGTTTTTCAAAAAAAAAAAAAAATCGCAGACGATAATTATGCCCTGAGCAGTCTTCAGCGGAGCGCGGTTTGCAGCAGTGCTGGGTCTGACACACCCACCCACCATTCACAAGGAAAGCTAAATGTTTTGGTTACCCAAAAAAAAAAAAAAGTTCTATTTAAATCACAGATCAATCCCTCTTCCTCACCCCTCCCCTTCTTCATCCACCACGTGAGGCTTTAAACATTCACTGTATTAATGATAGCACAGGAGTGAGGGACCAGAGGCAGGCGTAAATATTTGGTTTTGAGAGGCCAGCAGCCCAGATCGCTACTGGTGAGGGTGAATAAAGACAATTTATGTAAAACGGGCGGGGGGAAAAGGAGACTTCTGTGGGGAGCACGAAGTTAAGAAGATGCTGGGCATCATCCGTCTAGGGGATACAGCACAAAAATTAAGTCTAGGCAGCAGGGGGACGACAAACAGCCTAGCAGCGTTCATGCTGCAGGAGAGGGTCCTAGCCGGAGGGGAGGCAGCGCGAGGGCGCTCAGGATCGTGGGGTCCAACACGCGGGCCCCAAGGCGGGGAACAGCGCACGGGCCCCATGCCAATGGAAACATGCTCTGATGACACCCGCCACCCTAGCGGCGCCCCCAAAACCCGACGGGGACGCAGACAGGGCTGGGACAGAAAGCACGGCGATCCTTGGGGCAAGGGGGCCCTGGGGCTGGTGTCCCCAGAGGTCCTCCCTCCTTTGGGGCAGGGGGTGCCCAGGAAGGGGGTCCCATCCCCGGAGATATCCCGTTGCTCTTGGGATGGGGAGACCCTGGGGTGGGGGTCTGGGCCCTGTGGGGCAGGGGGGTCCCATCCCCATGGATATCCTGTTGCTCTTGGGATGGGGAGACCCTGGGGTGGGGATCGCAGGGGATCCAGGCCCTGTGGGGCAGGGGTGCCCAGGAAGAAGGTCCCATCCCCAAAGATATCCCATTGCTCTTGGGATGGGGAGACCCTGGGGCAGGGGATCCAGGCCCTGTGGGGCAGGGGTGCCCAGGAAGAAGGTCCCATCCCCAAAGATATCCCATTGCTCTTGGGATGGGGAGACCCTGGGGCAGGGGATCCAGGCCCTGTGGGGCAGGGGTGCCCAGGAAGAAGGTCCCATCCCCAAAGATATCCCATTGCTCTTGGGATGGGGAGACCCTGGGGCAGGGGATCCAGGCCCTGTGGGGCAGGGGTGCCCAGGAAGAAGGTCCCATCCCCAAAGATATCCCATTGCTCTTGGGATGGGGAGACCCTGGGGCAGGGGTCTGGGCCCTGTGGGGCAGGGGTGCCCAGGCAGGGGGTCCCATCCCCAGGGATATCCTGTCGCTCTCAGGGGGCCCTGTGGGGCAGAGGGCTCCTGTCCCAGGGGTCCACTCCCCAGGGCAGCAGGGGGGCTCGGATCAGGGGATCCTGCCCCACTGGAGCTGGGGGACCCGTCTCTAGGGGTCCCCCCGGG